TGTTTGAACATGAGGTTTGGCTTGATTGATCACTATGAACATCTGATACATAGATTTTATGAGCATATTCACTCTCTTGATTCAAAATTATTGATTTCTTTTGCTGATCAGGATGGGTTAATATTATGTCCTCACTCACTTTTTTCAAATGTTGATGTGAAAGAGGTTGGAGATATTTAACAGAAGCTGGTATCGGCAAATTCGACATTGACTGCAGTGGTGTAGCCACCTCCTCTCCAGAGATAAAGTCATCTAAACTACACTGAGTTGACATGTCTTTATGTCTATATTTCCTATCAACTACAGAATTATTTTCATTGTTTGTGGTTTTGGATTTTTTGTACATAATCAAAATTATAATAATCAAAAATATTATGATACATACTGTTACAGGAACAATTATCACCAAGCATACATTGGAGAAGTCACCATTGGTACTTGATATTGTATTCAGAGTACTAATGTCACTATTTATGGTTGTTGTCAATATACTGACACTAATTTTAATTGATGCAGATCCTTGTACTTGTTTAGATGATTTCACTTGACATATCAGTACACTGTCAATCATTTCATCAGTGATGGTCAAGTTGAGGTCAGGATCTGAGATGTCGACCAGTAGATTGGTATTGCTGATTGTCCAGTTGTATTCACATTGTTGACAGTCATGTCCAGTCTTACATTTGAAAGCTGTAGACTGTCCAACTCGAAGATTGTCAGATGTAAAGATTGTCACAGAAATGTTCACAACTATTGACTTTTTACAGGAACATTTTTCTTCATTTTTTAAATCCAAATTATCAACATTTAATTTACAAACAAAGCTCTTTTCATGTAGCTTTTCTTTGACAACCAACTCATTTTGTGAAATTATATGTGTTCCATTATTTATTGATATTATTCTGGTTGATACATTCTCAAAAGAACCCCATTCCAGTTTAGAAGGATCAGTTGAAACTTCATCAGTGATCTCTGCAATGCAATACAAGATCAGCACATCTCCCACCATGTAAGCTTCTTGATTTGATTGACAGGTGGGTGTTGGGAATGGTACAACACTCAGAGTAGCAGGTCTTGATGACTGAAAGACGGTGTCAGTACTATTGATCACATGGCAGCTATATTGTCCAGAATCTGATAAAGTGACTTCAGGAATTTCTAGTTTGCATTTAGCATCATATTGGATGAAATTTACTTTATGTTTACTTATATGGTGCTGTATTGTGCTGCTGCTGTGCTTCCAAATGCATTTTAAGCCTTGTCTCCATACTGAAAATATGCACAGAAATTCTGCTGTCTTTCCCTCCAAAATATTTTTGTCTTGTGGCTCATAAAAAAGATTTACATCAAAGCTGAATGTTTGACTCAGGAATAGTAAGATGAACAATGTTTCAGGAATTGTTTGTCTAAATTTCAAACTCATGCAGATACTATACCTCATTTTAGACTTAACAAATCCCTTAAGTTCGGTCTTCCTACTTTCCATCAAGGTCTTGTTCAAATTTAGTTGGTTATATTGTAGTTTCTGCTGATATTGCTAACTAAAAGTCTATTAACACCAAGTTTTATTTTCAGTTTCTAGTAGTGTTTTTATTTTGGAAGGCTGTTTGGAGTATTGGTTTTTGTTATTGCCGTTGAGGTCACAAGTTTGAACCACATGCTCACTATTCTCGACTGGCCATGCATGGACGCAGGACAGTCATGGGGGACACGTCCTCTACATATTTTAAGGAGGGTTGGTCCCACGTACTTTTCAACTTCAATGTAAATTCATAAGTCAAGAAGATGCCTGAAAATTGTTTAAATGAACTCCATCAATAGAAGAAGGTTTCAACAGAAGAGGCAGAGTATAACAGGTTAATTCTGGCCATCTAAAAAGTGGGTGAAGTCTGTAGGAAATTCTTTTTTTTTCTAAAAAATATGTTTATACCTAAAAAGTGGAAAATACACAAAAAAAGACCATTTTTAAATTCATGCTTAAAAGCTGAACAATCACATAACACTGTAGCATGACCTAACGTCCTGCCAGATAGTCTTATTCCAGCCTTTTTAGCTCATTAAAAAATATATTTTTAGTAAAAAATAAAAATAAAATAAAATGCTGAATCTCAATTTTGTACATTTTGGCTCGGTCTGGCAAACACAATAAATTTTTTTTGGCCCTATCACACCCATATCCACACAAATATGAAGACATGTTTCTTAATACTGAAAATGTCCATTTATCTTAATGTGAATAGGAATACCGTAGTTCCCCGGGTATAATCCCACCACCATGAACGCGAAATTGACCCGATTTTGGGGTGGTGGGATTATACCTGGGGATTCCTGTGTGCATGGGCAGAACGAAAATGATGATCGCTTTGCAAAGTGGCTAGATGCATTTGAACAGTTCAGTGGTCTAAAAACTAAACTCCAGGGGAGAAATCAGATTTTCCTCGAGCATCAAAGGGAAGGGAACACCTTAACTGTAGTTAGTAGGCCAGGCGCCTAGCTAACTAAACCTTATCTTGTTCATAGCCAGCGCTAGGCCAGCTTTTGCCTAAAAATTTGGCTCAATCACTGCAGTTGATGTGATTGGTTTTTCAATGGTCGCTTTCCTCTTGAGTTCTTCCTGGAGCACCAACTCATTTTGTGAAATTAAGTGTGCTCTATTATTTATTGATATTATTCTGGTTGGTAAATCCTCAATCTGGTATAAATAGTGCTCCGTCTTTCAGCCAACTGAATTTTATCTGGTTAGTAAGGTTGGTTAATTCTCCATGCAGGATACATAGGAATTGAACATTACTATGTCCATGAACCTGAATATATGCTCAGTGTGGAAAGCAACACTTTTTTAGACTTTTGACAGTGAGTAAAAGCACCAAGAAATATTAACAACTGTTGTACTGAAGCCATGTTTTCATAATGCTTACTGTCAGTTATAAAAATGCCATTTCATGTTCCCTCCTATAATTTGATTGGTTGATTTTTTGTCGTTTCATTTTCCCTCCATTGATTTCATTCAGTTGATTCATGGTTCTAACATGCATGAGGAGTCATAAAGTTTTTATGTTGGATTGATATTACAGTATGTTGATTAATGATAAAGGTCATTGTTATAAGGAATTCAAATGCTAATTTTTGAATTTACCTCCCAAGATAATATATACTGATGAAATTTACACTACGCCATTAGCTGTGTATTGGTTGCTTCCAATTTATAGGTGTTTCATGATCAATAAATTATACAATTTTGGCACTGATGTCTGTCATAAAAACAAAAGTGTTTAAAAAATTAATAAATAGGCCTACTATGTTTAAAGTATTTGTTTTAATTATCTGTAATTTTCATTTGTAATTTTAATGGAATAACCTGGTCAGAGCTACCATTTCCTGGACCAACAAGAGGTCACAGTGAGAGATTGAAACCTGACCTTGAGGTTGGTAAACCAAACCGTTCTCTGCAAGCAAGTTAAAAATAAGCCTGAAACGGCCACGCATATGTATATATTATAACAAAATACAAATTAAGTCCAGTAATTCTTCTATAAATTATGAGCATTTCTCCACTATTCAAATCAAAAAGCTTTATTGCAACGGTAATATATGCATTTTTAACAATATGAAAAGAAATATACATACAGTATAGGATTTATGATTAGAGGATTATGCATAAAGGCATGTTTAAACTCTGACGATAACGATCAAAGATAAAAAGCTAAAAAGCAATTGTTCATATTCAACAGGCCTTACACCTTCAATATATAAACCGTGGGTAAAGTGTGGCCTGCAAGCCACATGTGGCCCGACAGCAATTTTGTCGGGCCTGCTAATTGGCCTGCTAATCATCTTTGGTTTGAAAGCCCCCATTTTTTCAGCCAAACACTGATCACCTGTAAAAAGTAATATTAAAACTGAGTATAAAGCAGTATAGCTTTTACACAGTGGCGGCGCCAGCGGGGGAAGGGGGCTTAAGCCCCCCCATCGGTCTGGTCAAGTCCCCCTATCAGCCAGAGCTCGTCGGGCAGTCTAACCAAAAAAAATAATCGACCTAGTTTTCCCATCCCAGCCATTTCTGGCCATCTAGAAGTCCCAATTTTTTTTTAAATCTCGTTTTTTAAAAGGAGGGGACACCCCCTCCCAC